TTCCTTCAGCCACTGCTTTCTTGATTTTTGTTGACTCATCCTCTCCTTGATTTTTAAATTCTTCCACAATTCAATAAAACTATTCCTCCTCAATTCAATGTCATTATCAGACAACTAGTGCTGCTCTCCTTTCTCATCAACTGAAGCGATCACTAACTCTGCATTCCTTATTCTTTCTTCCATCTCCCTATTGGTTTTTCCACTCCACTCCTTTAGTGCCTTCTTTGTTCTTTTCAGCTTTTCTTTAATTTTAAATCCATTCCAGCCGTCCACCTCATTGTCACACCATGTACTCGTAATCACCTCCTTGCATCTCGGTTGATCCAACCAAGCATCAAAAAATCTGAACGTCTTTGGACCCCAGTCGACCTACTCATTTTTTATCACTATAGGGCAGTGATCTGATACAGTCCTCCTCAATCCCCACTGTTTCATATCACTCCACTTTGACATCCATTCTTCTGAAAACAGAAACCTATCAATCCTGCTCATTTGATTCCCATTTGAGTTATACCAAGTGTATTTTCTCCCAATCAAAGGCAAGTCAAACAAATCATTGTTGTGGATGAAAGCATCAAACTCTCTCATTTCATTGGACACCAACTTACAACCTGCTCTTTCCTCAACCCTCCTTATAGCGTTAAAATCCCCTGTTAAGCACCACATCCCCCTTTTATTACTAATTAAACCTTGTAGCTCCTCCCATAAGGCCCTTTTTTTTTTTGTAATTTGACACGGAGAATAAATGTTTATTATGAACACCGGTATCTCCTCCAGTCCCCACAGTCCAAGCACCCCTATAAAATTTTCACCCTCTATAGTCTCCTTCTTCTTCAATATTTTAGTGTCCCAAATACATATCAAACCTCCGGACATTCCATTAGAAGACTTTGCAACCCAATCCATATCCTCAGACCCCTATAAAGTTCTACATATTTTCCTATCAACTGCATCCATCTTGGTTTCTTGAACTGCTAAAAATTGGATTTTTTTTGTTTGACAACTAACTCCCTAATCTGTGATTTCTTCCCTATCCCTCCAAGCCCCCTAACATTAAATGACATAATTATCATTGGGTGCATCACATACCTTCCCACCGGCTTCAACCTCTCAGTTTACCATAATCCTTTTTGTACTTCGATCTCTGACCTCCATCTCCTCAATTCGTTGGATCACCTCATTGTCATTCTCCGCCACCGCCCCTAGCTGCGTCGCCAAGTCCCATATCTCCTTTGCAAGATGGGATTGCCATTGTTTCTTCAATGCCCTGTTGCAATTATTTATCTCATTGTCCCCTATTGAATCTCCAGCAACCTTCCCATCTTGGTTCGGCAAGAAGATTGGGACTGGTCTCTCCTCCATCTGCTGCGCAATCTTCTTCTTTCTTCCTCTTTTTTTTTCCGCTGATGCCTCACTGTTTCCGGGTTGGATATACACCGAGCTACACCTTTTGACCTTCCTTCTACCATTTTTTGAACTAATCTCCTCCAACTATTTGCCGATCCATACTTCTATTCGGCTTCTCTCTGATTCATGACCCTTCAAGAAAGCATCTTCTTCTTCATCGCCCTTCTTTTCTGCAGATTTTTCGGTTCTAGAGATGTCTCTGTTTTGGACTATAATTGGGGTCTCTTTTAGTGTTTCTTTTTGGGCCATTTCCACATTGTGGACTCCATTGCCATTGGGCTTTCTTCCTGCAAGGTGGGCCCAATTACCGTCTGATTACTGGGCTTCATTTTGTACTTGTTTTCTTCTAATTTTGATACTCCAATTTCCGAAACAGAGGCCTGCATCGTCTGTCCTGTAGCCACGTCCTTTGTCCGCCTGCTTCTTACACTTGCATTTGAAATTTGAATTTTCTCCAAGTTGTCACCAACGGCGTCTGCATAATCCCGTACTTCCTTGCTGGATTGTACTTCATTTCTTCTTTCTTCATCTCTCCAACGTCCTATTACGTCATCATCTTCTTCGGTTGAACACCCGGCTGGAACCTTCTCCTTCCTCCTTTCATCTTCCTCATCCTGCATCTCCGATTCTGTGCCGGTAGACCATGTTTCATGATCTTCAGAGTCGCTACTAAAGGAAGGCCTATAGTCTTGTTTCAAAGAGAAGAAACAATTAGTGAATTCCTCCTCTGTAAACTTCAGCTTGTATATACTTCCATTGATTTTGATTTCCCTTGTAACTTTGATTGTCTCCGTTACTGAAGAAGAAATCAAAAATCTGGCGATGTCAAACCTTTCCTTCTTGCTTGTGCTGTCGTCCAAGCAAATAAATTTTCCCCATGATCTACCCATGGTTGAAAAGAATTCACTTCCCCAGACATTCACTGGTGCTCCTTGACACCTTATCCACACAAATCTCTCTTTTGCTATCATCTGTGGTGTCCACGGGCTCACTTCTTCAAACCATTGGCTCAACCAATCCAATGCCAATTCAACTAAGTCCTTCACTTCCTCCTTGTCCTGACCAGATAACAGAACCATTTTGCCTCCCATTGCTCGGATTTGACAAGAAAAGTACCCCTCCATATAAAATTTTTCTTGTAGGTTGCGTACCATCTCCACAGAATGCACTATTCCAACATAGCTGCCTTCGAGCCAAGCATACTCTTCCGGTTTGATGTTGAACTCTATACCTACCCAATTTTCTCCCCTTCCTCTTTCTTTCCACACTTTCCTATTACCGGTTTGCCGATGATCGTGTCTACTTCTGTCAATGTATCTCCTTTGCATATCTTGCCTTGCATGCTTCTTAGTTTCTTTGACATTACTTCTATTTCTGCCTCGGGCGACCCTGCTCTATATGCTTTGATCCCCTGCCATCTCCTCCTCTTGTGATCCTTTTACCACCTCAGCATAACTTCTATTCTGAACATCTGCCATCCTTCCATTATATTTTCTTTTCACCCCAACTTCCTTCTTCTCAGAATCGTACCTTGGCCTGTTCACCCACAGTTTCCGATCTCTTACCCAAATCTGATCCAACTTTCTTTCCATTTCCTTCTCGTCTGTCACCCCTAGAAATCTCACAAAGCTGAATCTACTTCCATTTCTACTTCTTCTATTTGGAGAGTAGATGTCATAAACTTTGCCAAACTTCATAAACGTGCTCCACAATTCTTCATAGCTCCAATCGTCTAGAACATTGGTAAAGAAGAAAGGTGTTGCTTGTTTGTATAAGCCCCAGTTATAAGGCCCATCTCTCTGCAATTTTCGACCCTGGTTTTGATCATTCCTTGCTTTCCCCCAAACTGCCGGTTCCCTGTTCCTCTGGTATCTGCTATGACGGAGTCCGCCAAGCTCCTAGTTCAGTGCCGTCTGTCTATCCCGTGACCGGTGTCCATCTCGGTCCCTTCTCTCTCTCTACCTCTCTTTCTCATCACGTTATTCATACCATTATGGCATTTGTGTGTGCATGTTTAGCAAAGGAAGAATAATCTCTTTGTGGCTGTCACGCACAGTTAGAAAAAACAAAAACTGCATGTAAGCGTTTCTTTGGACACACGGCATCTAAACATTGATTAAAGGAAAAGTGAGTACTTTCTAAAAATCTCCATTAATGAGAATTTTCCAGAACAAATACCCCGCGTACGTCTCCACCCAGTATATATTTTATCTCCACAGACAAGAGACAAATTCCCACCATGCACGTGACATAAAAAAAAACCTACTTCAACTCTTTTTCAACAAAAATGATGTACTTGTTATAATACTATATAATGCAATTTTAAGCATCAGTCTTAAATTTTAAAAGTAATAATAATAATAAAATAATACATCATAATTTTATATTTATAAATTACTCTTACAATGCATCGTGACATTGTTTTTTATTTTCTTTAAAGGTTACTTTACACCCTTGTCTCTATATATTCCCTCTTTAAAAATTTAATATTGTTGGAAGTATTACTGTCTTAAAAGGAAGATTACACAATCAAGAAAATAAAAAAAAAAAAATTTTGTCAACAAGAAAATCAAGATTTAATTCTTAAATTAAAATTTAACGTAGATTGATGCAATCTCAATTTCAAGTTACTCTCTGTTATTGTTATTCCACTTCATTATAAACATGAGTTTTATATATGTGTATTTATTCTCAAAATAAGAACAATAATTATAAATACTATAAGACATTTGTTCGTTGTCCACCTATAGTGGTGGGATGAATCATGGTGTACCATCTATAATTCTATTCCTATATTCTTTAACTTCATGTTTTATTTTTATAATTATTTAAAAAATCTATCATGCTATCAGACATATATTCTAACTTTAACGAGTTTAGATCTTAGATATCCATGGCTTCCCCACATGGCTGCAACGAAAATACTAACCAAACTCAATGGGCAAAACCCTCTCTTAAGCCACCACACTTACCTTAAATTAACATAGGAGCCTTTGAATAAAAAATAATTCAAATAAACCCTCAAACTCTTTAAATGATGCAAATTAACCCTCGAACCACTTGAAAGATACAAATCTGCCCTTACATTATAATTAATGGCCCAATGCCTGTGACCCATGTTGCTTGTTCTTTTCCTTTGCTTGGTCCCACTTCTGTACATAAATATTGATGTGGATAAAAGAATCTCTTAGGAGTGAAAATCCCGCCAAAATGTTCCATGTGACTTCTTCTTTTAATTTAGTGTGTCTAAAGCCACGTGAATTATTTTGACAGGATTTTTACGGTTCAAGAGGTTTTTTGATTCACACCAACATCTGTATGAAAAAGTAAGACCAAGTGAAGGAAAAGAACAGATGATGCAAGGTCACTGCATTGGGCCCTTAATGATGAGGGTTGATTTGCATCTTTCGAGGGGTTTAAGAGTTAATTTGTATTAGTTGAGAGATTTGAGGGCTTATTTACACTGGTTTTAGTTTAGGAACTCACACATTAATTTAGGATAAGTTTGGGGGCATAAGGAGTTTTACCTGCCATCGACGAAACCTACAACTACTGCCCCTTCTGTTTTTGCCGATACAATTTTCCACTGTCCACAACTTGCTGCTTATGTTCAACAATTACTACTGCAACATCAATTATTTTATTAATTTTATAAATTATCAATAATTTTTAACAATTAAATCAAATAAAAT